GAAGCAGGCATGTGGCAGGCCCATGTCCACATTCATGTGGCTAACTGGACACTATCCTGCGTGATGGCAGCAGCCTGGTGTTCACACTCCATCATAGGTCTTATCCTCTGACAGCCTCACTTCCTCAACAGACTTCTGCTTTGGGCAATTTTCTATTGCTTAATATTCAGAATTCACTGCTTGCAATTATCCTCTACCAACTCTTCTCTCTACAAGAACCCTTCACCTAGGGAGGCTGATACATGGCACTGAGCTTCTTGCTCAATGCCAGAGAGGCTGGGTATGCCCTCTCCTCTCAAATATCTAAGGGAGATGCTTGAAATAGACGCTTTTCCCACACCATAACAGTGAACTGTGGTCAGCCTTCTCCTGGCAAGCATTGCAGTGACCGGGGATTCCTGCACACGTACATTTGAGTGACACCCACCATGTGCAGTACTATCAACCACTATCTGATTGGATGATTATTTTCATCCAGACATAAACCACTGAACATCTACACATTTTAAAGTGCTGTGTCCTTTCACATACATGAGATTTTCATACAGCTAAGACTCTATTCTGTTAATAAACTAAATTAATTCATAAAATGTTAGGAAGCTGACAAGAGACCACAGGAAGCCACTGTTGGACAGTCACAGCCACTGGCACAATCCACATCCAACTTTCCAATGTATCAGAGGCTCTGGGTCTAGGGAGAGGGCTCAGGCTGCAGGGAGCTCTCACCAGTGAGAACCTATTTGGATGGGACAATTCAAACATTTTGAATTTTCACTTAACATTTTATGGCTTTCTCAAGTACTAAACAATTGAGCACTATATCATTTCAATGTAATCAATAATCAAACAGCATTAAATAACTCTGTTCAAAATGTTCAAAATCTACAAATTTGCCCCTATGAAAAATGTGGCAAGAAAAAAAATAACAAAAACAAAATAAGTAACCTTTTCACTGTCAGGCGAAAGGTGTTTAGGGATCCAAACAGACAAATAGTCCTTCAGCAGATGAACAAATAAGTTTCCTCTGCAAGTGACACACTCTGGGATATTTATACTGCCAAACATAACTCATACAACAACCACCAAGGAAGCAAAACTTAATGGAAAAACCCCATGCTGGCAACCAGGAGCCCCACTTCTGGTTCCAGGATGGCCTCCAGCTGCAGGATCCTATGAAAGCAGTGGCTAAGCCTGGTGTCCCTTTCTTCATCACCAAAAAGAACATCTATCACCACCCATACCACTCAAATATTTTGAGAACACAAAAATGAGAGGTGAAAATACTTTGGAGCATGTGTCCTCTATAAATATAAGTCACCTTTATTATTAGCTCCAAGATGACAGGGAAAATAGGATTACAGAGTAGCTGAGGGAATGGCAGCTCAGGAAAGCACTAGGCTCACTGCTACACTACCACACTGTGAGAGAGGCAGTTTGGTAGGGGGGGGAGTTGATTCAGTTCTCAACCTGAGTCCAGGTCCCTAAAGTTGTCCACATGTGTGTTTCAGTTGTTACCAGTCTCAAAAGATTAAGAACCTCAAGGGCTAGGGGAGTGCCTCAAGTGGTAGAGGGCCTGCTTAACAAGCACAAAGCCCTCAGTTCAAATCCCAGTACCATCAAAAGAAAAAAAACCTCTAAACCTCTTACTTTACAAATATGAAAACTTAGGCCCTAAGATCTGTGTTGACTGTTCTAACCTCAGGGTTAGTCAGGGAAAAGTTGGACAGAGCCCATGGTTCTGGTCTCTATCAATCTCCTCCCATTAGACATTCGCACTCTGGGGAGGGGAAAAAAAAAAACACATAAATTTCACATAGCCACACAGAAATGTTACACAAGCCACCATACACATGGTTTCTAAAGTTACAGCAAGGTTTCTTTCCTTATTTATCCTCTCCAAGGCTTCTGGTTGAGGCTCTGGTAGTTGAATTAGCAATGTACTCATTGCTGTATTTTCATTTCTATTTAGTTCAGTGCTTAGAGCCAAGAAACAGGTGAATGATTATTTTAAGACTGAAAATTTTTAAATGGGCTGGAAGTGTAACTCAGTAGTAAAGCACTTGGTTAGCATGTGGAAGGCCCTAGGTTTGATAGGGGGAGAGGTGGGAGGTTGGGACAGGGGAGACTACCTGGTACTCTGTTTTATTAAGCAAAAAATAAACACGAAGCTGGGATATTTTTTGTTTTAGGTGTAACTTTAATCAAAATATTGAAAACTGTGCTCTCAGATGACCACTGTCCCTTAAGTAGTCACCTTTAGAACACAGATGCCAAAATGTCACATCACACAGAATATATGAAGAACTTTTTTTTTTTTTTTTTGAGACAGAATCACACTGTGTAGCCCAGGCAGGCCTCAAATTCTGGCTCCTCCCGCCTCAGCCTCCTAAATTCTGGAATTACAGGTGCTTACATGCCTGTGCAAGGATTACACGCATGCATAAAACACAAAACAAGATACTTATTTAAGGTGGTTTCCAGGGTTGGCAGAGTGGCTCAAGTGGTAAAGCTCCTGTCTAGCAAGTGTGAGGCCCCGAGTTCAAACCCTAGTACTGAAAAAAAAATAAAAAGATGGTCTCCAGTCAGTAAACAAAGCATAATCATCTGAGCACTAAATATCCAAAGGAATTCCTAGACAGTCATCCTAAGGACCACCACTGAGACCCATCAGGAGCCAAGATTCAGGCACAGCCTGAACTAAATTTTCAAGTATGCGAAGGATCACTGTGGAGGCCACAAAGAAAGAACTGTATCTGTGGAATGCAAACTGACTTAAGTAAGTCATTCCTCAGTTGCCTTCAGGTATGCAGCTGCAGTTCCAAACAACTGGAAAAAAACTCAGCCTGCTCACATGAAAGTGGTTATTACCTGATAATCTAAAGAGTGGCCTCCAGGAGGCCAAATACAATTGGATGGTAGATAAGGCAGGTGGGAGTCAGCTGGGAGGTTCAGGTGAGGGTGGCCAGAGAGCAACTGTTAAATGCTCCTACACAAGTTGCCATTACTATTACTAATATTACTACAATTTTTTTTTTTGATATTCCACAACATCCTGGAATGTTCCACTGAGGACCGCTTCAGAAGCAGGAAGCCAAGCATCATGCCTTAAACCCACCCAGCATGGACTTTCAAATGAGAAAGAAGAAATAAAAAGGCTAAGAACAAATGCCCCTCTGCTTCCACCCCAGAAATGCCTAGTCATCAGAGATCAGAACTGGGTACCTAGCACCAAGGAAAGCCCATCTTACTTCCCTGTAGCAGGCCACTCTGGAAACCTAGATGTTATTTTTTTATATATGCATAGTTTACATATGCATAATATTTATGACCTCTTAACAATTGAGACTAAAAGTAATGAAGTTCCAGTTCCCAAAACAGCATGAACTAAGAATACTATTTCCATTCAAATAAGTTATTCTCAAAAAAACTGCATGAGAGAAGACCTAATCACTCATCTACTGTGTTACGTTACTTTCCCAAGAAATAAATACCATCAGCCTAATGGCCAGTTTCTTCAATGTTTCAAGACCATTGTCAAAAGAAAAACAAACCACAGAAAACTTTTTGAGGTAGTAGCCTCAAATCTCAAGTAGCGTAACTTCACCAAGGAGACTGCTGAAATCTAGAACTAAGTTTAAATGGACACAGGCCGAAGGTTTCCAGGTGAATCAAGAGAAATCCAGGTTGCACTGGCACCCATTCAATGCCTCTATGGAGAGGCTGCAGACTTATGAACCAAGCAGATTAAGAATTTGGAGGACACAACAGGAGGGTTGGCATTCAACACCACCCATCTGGTTGGTCCCCAGGCTGGCAATCCTAGGAGGGTTAAAACAGAATTTCTAGCATATTGGAGTAACTGCAGAAGGAGGAAACCAAAGAGAAGGGAAAAGGTGTGAGCTCATGTCCACAGCTCAGGTTTAAATTCTTTGAGCTGGTCTCTTGATTTTCATCAGAACAGGCAGGGAGTGTTTGGTAAACAGCCTAATAAGTAGCCGTGGAGACTAACCCATTCCCCTTAACCACAAAGACCCAGGACAGTTGGGGTCAAGGAGAGAAGGCAAGATCCAGGAATGGTGCACACACCCCCACCCAAAGGCCACCTTCCCTCCCCTCGGGAACCCAACCAGACAGCGGGGCGTGTCCACCTCCAAGTCTGCGGGCTGTGCGGGTCCCCAGGAGACAGCGCAGATTGCTCCCAGCCCAAAACATCCACCTTCTCTGAGAGCCACAACCCATGGAATCACTGAAATCCAGCAGCTGTCCCGGGACTCGCAGGACGACTACCGGAGAGGCCCAGAGAGAGTTCTGGAAAACTCTGCAAGTCAAAAGGGCAAGAACCCTGGCCTGTCCCGTCTGCCCCTCCTCCTCCCCCCAACCCGAGGTCCCGCTCACAAGGAAGGGCATGGTTCCCCCCACCAGCCACAGGCACACTGGGAGGGTGGGAAGGAAGGAAATGGAGGACGGTCATCAAAGCGCCCCAAGTAAGTGATCCGTATGGATCCCGCCTGCCCCACCGCCCCTCCGGGCCGCCCTCGGACCCAGCCCTGGGCGCTTCCCAGCCTCACCTCTCCTCCAGACCCGCCGTCCACCCCGCGCCTACCCGCGCGCCCCTCGGATTCTGGCTTCCCCCAAATCGCGCCTCCTGCACCCCTCGGTTTCTCCTGAAGCCGCGCCACGTCCCACTTCTGCAGCTGCCTTCAGCACCCCCACGAGCAGCCCCTGAACCCCGCGACGGCCCCGCTCGGGCGCTTCTCCATCCGGCTCCCACTCCTTCCCCTCCCACACCCCACTTGCCAAGATGTCCTCTCTCGGTGACCCCTAACACCTAAGCACACACCCCCTCCCACGGAGACCAGAAGTTTCGAGCGGCGCGGCCCGCCAGGCTTCACCCGGGGCGCGGAGCTCGGCGCGGCGGCCTGACAGGGCGCGGGCCCGGCCACCGACCCGCGCCCCCGCGTCCCGCCTGAGCGCCCTAACCGTCGTGGTGCGCCCCTCACCTCGGCCGCTGCTCCACTTCGGACCCACAGTGTACCGCGCTCCGGTCGTGACGGTGTCTCCAGCCCAGGCTTTGACTCTGGTCCCAGCTCCCGCCCCGCTTCGTCCGCGCAGCCCAGCCCTACCCAGCCCCGCCGCGGCCGCTTCTGCCGCCAGCCGCGACCGCACCGCCCTCGCCGCGCCCGCTGTGCTCCTCTCATTGGCTGCTGGGTTCAGGGCCCCGCCCCACAGCCCCTTCAGCACTCCGGATTGGTCTAGAGAAGCGAGGAGGTGGCCCGCCCCCTAGCGCGCGCAAGGGGACTACCGACTTCCTCTGTCAATCAAAGGAGTACCTATTTAATCAGCTGGGAGGGCAGCCGGGATCATTTTCTGGGAACAGCTCAAAGGCCAAGGTCTACATGGCTGGCTCCGCTGGGGCCAGCGTTTTAAGACTTTGCCAGGACCCAAAAGCGGAGAGCGCGGCAGGACAGCACTGTGCTTGACTGGAAGTTCAGGGGAAGATAGTAATAGAAATATGCAGGCAGTAGTGCCTCCATTTTGGGCCCGGCTAGGTCTCCATTCTTGACTCCATTATGCTCCCTAGTCAATGATAAAACCAAAACCCACCCTCCTGTTCCTAGAAAACACCCTCAAAGAAACAGCCGCCTGTTTCCAGAAGGCACGCCCCAACGGTCCTTACCCAGCTGGGCACTTTCCGCCCCAACGACCTCGGTAAATTTCCACAGCGCCCACTTTCTCGGTCTCTTACTCCAGGCAGACATGAAAGCAGCCCCGCCTCGGAGCCCGGGCTGCGCCATCCTCGGCGCCGTTAAGCTTTGCCTGCTGGACGTGAGACGCTCTCGGGAGCCTGCTTTGCTTTACGAGCGGCGCTTTGGGCGTTTTCCCCGCAGGGGCTCGGCCACATCCCCTGACCGGCTCAGTTAAGAGTGGGGGGTCCGCCACGGTGCACGGGGGCGGCCGGGAACCAGGCAACAGACGCTCCCCGATTCTCGCATTAGCCCAATTAGCACAGGGACGTCATGGAGTCGAATCGGCTAATGTTTACTGAGCGCTTTTCTAAGTCATTTCAAAGCTTCCTTCACACAACGATGGAGGGAGAGGATGGTAAGACAATTCCCAAGTGAGGATTTGGGATTATGACACGAGGTAACTTGCTGGAGATGATGTGAAGGAAAGAGTAAATGGCAGAGCCAAGTCATTTAGACCCAAGGTCTCTGTTGCCTCCACATTACCACTGTGAAAATGGCAATGAGAACCATATAACAAAATCAAAGAATACTTAAATTAAAATGTTAGATGAGCCAGGTGCTGGTGCCCATGCCTGTAATCCTAGCTACTCAGGAGGCAGAGATCAGGAGGATCACAGTTCGAAGCCAGTCTCAGGCAAATAGGCCAAGAGACCCTATCTCGAAAATACCCCACACAAAAAAGGGCTGGTGGAGTGGTTCAAGTGGTAGAGTTTAAGAGCGCCTGCCTAGCAGGTATGAGGTCTTGCCTGAGTTCAAGCCCCAATGCCAGAAAAAAAAAAAAGAAAGAAAAACCTCCTTGGGTCCCAGCACCTTCTGTCTAGAAGCTTATCCAGGTATTTTTCCCAACAGAGCTTCCTTTGCAGGCTGTAAATGTTACCCATAAATATTTCACCATATTGTATCCAGCCTCCTTCTCCAGTCATACTCAAACAGGCCTGGCGCCTAATCCTCCAGCCAAATGGCCTTGGGTAAGTCACTGGAGCTCTTGGCACCTCTGTGTCCCAGTCTGTGACCAGGAATGGTGACAGTTCTCCTCTCAGGTTTGAAGTGAGGAGAAGAATCCCGGAGAATGGTTCTGGGTGTGCAGCCATGAGCGCTAAGTGTCTTGAGTGGTGACCAGGTGGACATGCTCAGGCGACCACCTGCCCCTTTGCCCTGTCCTCACTCAACATGCCCACTGCCACAGAGCCATGTGGGACCGAGGCTGACCTGTTGGTCCTTTATTAGCCATTTCCCACAACACAGCCTGGATAAACAGACATCCTGGGTTAAAACATACTCTCACAGAGAGCAAAGCATTCTCTAAAAGATTAAACAACCAGTTACGCTGTATTGCTGATAAAATAGTCTTTTGTATACAGTGACATATATGTCTCTCAAAAAAAAAATTCAAAATCGAAATTGTAAGGGAGCAGGAGTTCGGGGGGGCGGAACTGGGTTCTGCTCATACTCCTGGGTAAATCCAGCAAGGACAGAGTCTACGACAGAAGGGGACAGCGTATTGATGACGGTGATACTTAACTATGCCAAGATGGATGGAATATGACAAAGCGCAAAGGCCTAGCAGCAGGAGATGCTGCTCTATGGGGAGGGAGGGGCTCCTCTTGACCACAGCATCACAGGTACAAGGAGGAACCATAGGTGGGCAAGGCAGCTGAGCAGCAAGTAGCTGTTCAACCCTGGCAAGTTACTTCCCCACTTGGGGCCTCAGTTTTCTCAGCTGTAAAGTGGGGATACCTAGTACTTAGGGAATGTGAAGAATTGTGAGTTTGAACCTGCAGTGCTGTTAGGCTAGGGCCTGGCAGAGTCCATGTGTGCTGAATGTGTTCCAGGACCCCCACACATTTTGTAAAAGTGCTTCAACTTAAAAAAAAAAATGGGATTGGGGACTGGGGATTGACTCAGTGGTAGAATACTTGCCTAGCATGTGCAAGGCGCTGTGTTCTATCCCCAGCACCGGTAAGTAATAAAAATATTGAAAAAAAAAAAAAAACAGACCCAAGAAAGAATGTCCTTTGCACTAATTATTAATATTTTGGATGTGGCAAAGTGTTAACTGTTCCTGCCAGGTGAACACATTTCTGGATATACCCAGGAATGAAGCATGCCCTGCCCAGTGTGTGTAAAGATGTGAATTCCTTATAAATGTGTCACTGATCAGGAGGTGCTCACCTGGACTTTCGTTTTGTTCCCTGGCCTACACGTCTGTTCACATAAAACTGTAAGAGCAAATACAACACTCCACTCACACGTGCCACACTCAACTGGAGCCTACTCCTGCCCAAGGGCAGCAGGAAACAGCACCTCCTATGGACAGGGCTTCCCCAAGTGGGCATTGCTAGGAATCAGGACCACCCCATTTTTCACATATTCCTCCGCGGGTTCTTATGCCTCAGACACTCTGAGGACACCAATCCTGATAGCTACTCTAACTTTCACTAAGTGGGACACTCCTTTGGAAAGTTTAGGGTAAAATGTTGCCATTTGTACCAAAGTGGGCCAAGTGTCAACAATTTCAAAGTGACTGTTTTGAAACTTTGAATGAAGATTTAACAAGGCCCAGACTTCACTTGATACATTATAAAAATATAAATTCTCTCAGGAGCAGGGGTAGTAGAACATGCCTGTAATTCCAACACTCCAGAGGTAGAAGCAAGAGGATTGCAAGTTCAAGGCCAGCCTGGCTACATAGTGAAACCCTGTCCCCACCCCTCAAAAAAATCCCTCAGGAGCTCTCCTCTGGAACCCCTTCGTGCTTCTGCATAGTAATCATAGGAAGCCCTTCAATCCATCTGCTCCAGACCTCACATGTCGTAAAATGACACTTTGGATTCAGAATGGAATCCCCGTTGGCTTCCAGAACTCCCCCTTTCTCCTGGATATCTCTTCCAAATGCCCTTGCCAGCACATTGAACTTGTAGCCTCCAAAACTGTAAGAAAGTAAACTTCTATTGTTTTAAACCAGCCAGGTTGTAGTAAATAAGGCTCACACCAATAGAAGAGTGGGTTTTTTCTCTCCTAGCTACTTTCAATGTCTTCCAGGTCTTCTGTAAAGAGCACAGGATAACTTTACAAGGTGTAGGGGGCTGAACTGAATTATTAAACACATGAAAGAGAGAGAGCTGTGCCATAAATCTATGTCCTGGGGTTTAGCTAACATCCACTCCTGTTATTCTGGGACAAGGGAAAGATGAATTTGAACACCTCCCCCACCACACTTCTTATAAACCAGGGGAACTTTGGGCAAGTCACTCCTCAACCTCAATGTTCTCATTTGCACAGGAAGATCACAAAGACACACCCCTACTTCACAGGGTAGCTGTTGAGGAATTCAGTGTGATTCCTGCCCTGCCCAGCACAGGAAAGGCTGTGTCCAGACTCACATGCACCTGCTCATAAGAACCACCTCCCGGGCTCTGCAAGGGGAATAACAAGCAACTGAGACACCTACAGACCCCACTTGGTCATGCTGGCTCCCCTGCCCCCACCCTCCCTACCCAAGGAACAGTGCAGCCAAGAGGTTCTCTTCCCAAGCGAGCGAGCGTGGATGTTTGCAGTGGAGCTGGCCTTCTGGCTCAGGTCAGCACCCACCTCTCTGCTGTTATCTCCTTCAAAGGAATGCAATGCTATCTCCCCCTCCTCCAGCCCTGCTCTGCTGCCTGCCTTCCCACTCCGGTAGCCCTCTGATCCTCCGGGCTCCATTCCTGCCCCTGCTTCATCTGCCGCTGGCCTCTAGCCTAAATCGGCATCCATGTTTCTCCCAGAACAGACCCCTGGAGGCAGAAGGTTGGGGAGGCCAAGTCCACGTTAAAGTTGAGCAACTCCTCTGCCTGCACAGCTGCTTTCAGTGCCCCCTTTCTCTTCCCTCTGGAACTCTAAGCCAGGATGGGCTACTGATGGTTTAGAATCATGGGACCTCCATCTGTGCTCCCCAAGTGGCAGATGCCAGACTCTTACCCTTACTCATGAGGTGTGTGAATGATGGGGAGTGTGGTTAGAAAGTAAGAGCACAGAACAATGATTTCACACCAAATTGCACTATGGGCAGGTGGGAGAGAATGGCAGGAGGAGGCTATGTATCAAGCATTTGGGACCAGAGAGCAGAAAAGCCAGGAGACCCTAAAGGTGACCAAGAGTCCTACCCTCCTAAGGTGAGGAAGCAGAGGCCAGAGAAGTCAGGAGAGCTACCACAGGTCTCCAGACAGTCGCCAGAGAGCCCTCTCAAACTTGGGCCTCTGCTTCTCCAGCAATCCCTCTCCCTATTTCAGTCAAGCCTCTCTCTCCTCACTTAATTCAACAGACACAGGATACCAGGTTCCACACCAGGCCTAAATGATA